TCACGCTTATTACTGAAGTATGTATTTACGAGCATCCACTATTGCTGCCTTCTTCCTTTTTTTCTCCATCAGGTCACTCATCAAGACCTTTCAATACAATGCGTCCGCAGTCCCGTGATACTCATCCAGGTTCAGAATAGAGTTATCTGAAGTCTTCGAATCATGCGGATTAAGCATATCACCACGTCTTTCTCCGTGTTGTTGTCCATGCTATTCATGTCGAAGGAGTTGTTCAGGAACTTGTTGCAATGTTGTAACACTAGTCATCCACCCATTAGTCCGTACTGAATATCTTTCGCCTGATATGTAGAGCTACCGATTTTGAACCGTGCGGGTTCGTCTAGACAGCTCAATGCGAACAGCAAGTTGACGGCATCATTGTTCTCGGTAATTACGCCTCAGATGATCGGGCAAATTGAACGTTTAGACGGGCAGAACGATTGAATGCATTACTGATTGGAGGTGGATATCGTAGCCGCGCGGGCAGACTGAGATCTTCTTTTTTTCCAATAGCTTCTCATTCTTCCTTCAACGTCTCAATGGGATTTGACCATCCTTCCTGCCTTCTGCCAATCACCGTAAAACTTCTTGAAGTGCATCCACGCCATTCCGGCTACCTTGAGAGTGAAGCACTGGTATATTCAGGGCACCCTCATGCGCTAGCGGGTAAAGAAAGCCGGCGATGTATCCAGTCACAACGTGCCACACCTGTTTCGATGAGCTTATGTGAGCGGCTGCTTATAGTATTGATCGTTACGCTTTCGATTCGACCTTCAAGCGTGGCATTTTCGGCATCGTTTTTGCGGTAATGACATCAGTGTTCATCAGACGAGCAGCTTGATGGAAAGACCTATATAGTTTACATGTGGACACCATATACATCAGGGTGCAAGCAGAATAAACTCCGATAAACCAACCCTTTCGAATCGACCTTCTCCTTCTCAAGTTTCAGGTGTTTTAGGTTGTCTACACTAACTGTGCAGACTTCCTTCGTGCTCTTCAAGCTTTCTCGACAAGGCATGTCCCCCTTTGACATCCATCAATATGCACAATACCAAGCGTTCGTCAATGTATTCGTTGTCTTCATCACAATCTTTCAGTGGGCATAGATGAATGCACTCAAGCTGCACAAGCTTTGTGGATCTCCTCTATGGACGTACTTACTCTTATGCTGATACAGCTAGCTCCCCGTGATGTGTACTCCACTTTGGCTCTACAGGGGAGTTGAGATTCACGCTTATTACTGAAGTATGTATTTACGAGCATCCACTATTGCTGCCTTCTTCCTTTTTTTCTCCATCAGGTCACTCATCAAGACCTTTCAATACAATGCGTCCGTAGTCCCGTGGTACTCATCCAGGTTCAGAATAGAGTTATCTGAAGTCTTCGAATCATGCGGATTAAGCATATCACCACGTCTTTCTCCATGTTGGTGTCCATACTATTCATCTTGACGGAGTTGTTCAGGAACTTGTTGCAATGTTGTAACACTAGTCATCCACCCATTAGTCCGTACTGAATATCTGTCGCCTGATATGTAGAGCTACCTATTTCGAACCGTTCGGGGTAGTCTAGCTAGACCAATGCGGACTGCAAGTTGACGGCATCATTGTTCATGGTAATTGCTCCTTAGATTGTTGGACAAATAGAACATTTTGGACGAGCAATACGAATGAATGCAACAATGATTGGAGGAGGACATCGTAGCCGCGCGGGCAGATTGAGATCTCCTTTTTTCTCCAATCGCTTCTCATTCTTCCTTCAACGTCTCAATGGGATTTGACCATCCTTCCTTCCTTCTGCCAATCACCGTAAAACTTCTTGAAGTGCATCCACGCCATTCCGGCTACCTTGAGAGTGAAGCACTGGTACATTCAGGGCACCCTCATGCGCTAGCGGGTGAAGAAAGCCGGCGATGTATCCAGTCACAACGTGCCACACCGGTTTCGATGAGCTTATGTGAGCGGCTGCTTATAGTATTGATCGTTACGCTTTCGATTCGACCTTCAAGCGTGGCATTTTCGGCATCGTTTTTGCGGTAATTACATCAGTGTTCATCAGACGAGCAGCTTGATTGAAAGACCTATATGGCTTACATGTGGATACCATATGCATCAGGTTGCAAGCAGAATAAACTCCGATAAACCAACCCTTTCAAATCGACCTTCTCCTTCTCAAGTTGTCTACACTTCCTGTGCAGACTTCCTTCGTGCTCTTCAAGCTTCCTCGACAAGGCATATCCCCCTTTGACATCCATCAATATGCACAAGACCAAGCGCTCGTATTCGTTGTCTTCATCACAATCTTTCAGTGGGCATAGATGAATGCACTCAAGATGCACAAGCTGCGTGGATCTCCTCTATGGACGTACTTACTCTGATGCTGATACAGCTAGCTCCCCGTGATGTGTACTCCACTTTGGCTCTACAGGGGAGTTGAGATTCACGCTTATAACTGAAGTATGTATTTACGAGCATCCACTATTGCTGCCTTCTTCCTTTTTTTTCTCCATCAGGTCACTCATCAAGACCTTTCAATACATAGCGTCCGCAGTCCCGTGATACTCATCCAGGTTCAGAATAGAGTTATCTTGCATCTTCGAATCATGCGGATTAAGCATATCACCACGTCTTTCTCCATGTTGTTGTCCATACTATTCACCTTGACGGAGTTGTTCAGGAACTTGTTGCAATGTTGTAACACTAGTCATCCACCCATTAGTCCGTACTGAATATCTGTCGCCTGATATGTAGAGCTACCTATTTCGAACCGTTCGGGGTAGTCTAGCTAGACCAATGCGGACTGCAAGTTGACGGCATCATTGTTCATGGTAATTACGCCTTAGATTGTTGGACAAAAAGAACGTTTTGGACGAGCAAAACGACTGGATGCATTACTGATTGGAGGTGGACATCGTAGCTGCGCGGGCGGATTGAGATCTCCTTTTTTCTCCAATCGCTTCTTATTCTTCTTTCAACGTCTCAATGGGATTTCGCCATCATCCTGCCTTACGCCAATCACCGTAAAACTTCTTGAAGTGCATCCATGTCATTCCGGATAGCTTGAGAGTGAAGCACTGGTATGTTCAGGGCACCTTATGCGCCACCGGTCGAAGAAAGCTGGCGATGTTTCCGGTCACAACGTGCCACACCGGTTTCGATGAGCTTATGTGAGCGGCTGCTTATAGTATTGATGGTTACGCTTTCGATTCGAACTTCAAGCGTGGCATTTTCGGCATCGTTTTTGCGGTAATGACATCAGTGTTCATCAGACGAGCAGCTTGATTGAAAGACCTACATGATTTACATGTGGACACCATATACATCCGGGTGCAAGCAGAATAAACTCCGATAAACCAACCCTTTCGAATCGGCCTTCTCCTTCTCAAGTTGTCTACACTAACTGTGCAGACCTCCTTCTTGCTCTTCAAGCTTCCTCGACATAATTTCTCCCCTCTGACATCCATCAATGTACACAAGACAGAGCGTCTGTCAATGTATTCGTCGTCTTTATCACAATCTTTCAGTGGGCATAGATGAATGCTCTCAAGCTGCACAAGCTGTGTGAATCTCCTCTGTGGTAGTACTTACTCTTATGCTGATACAGCTAGCTCCCCACGATGCGTACTCCAATTTGTCGCTATATGTGAAGTTGATATTCGTGCTTTTTACTGAAGTATATATTTACGAGCATCCACTTTTGCTGCAGTCTTCCTTTTCTTGCTCCATAAAGGCGCTCAAGAACTTTTTTATACGATGCGTCCGCAGTCCCGTGATACTCATCTATGTTCAGAATAAAGCTATTTAAAGTCTGCGAATCACGTGGATCGAGTAAACCACAACTTCTTTCTCCATTTCGGTGTTCATGCTATTCACCACGGCGGTATCATTCGGGGGTTCGACTTGTTGCAATGTTGAAACACTTGTCATCCACCCATTTGTACGTACTGAATATCTATCGCCTGTTACATAGAGCTACCTGTTTCGAACCGTGCGGGGTATCCAAGCTAGCTCAATGCGGACTGCAAGTTGACGGCATCATTCTTCGCGGTAATTACGCCTTAGATGATTGAGCGAATAAAACATGTAGGCGAGCAAAACGACTGGATGCATTAATGATTGGAGGTGGACATCGTAGCTGCGTGGGCAGAGTAAGATCTGTTTTTTCTCCAATCGCTTCTTATTCTTCTTTCAACGTCTCAAGTGGATTGCGTCATCATTCCTGCCTTGCGCCAGACACCGTAAAACTTCTTGACGTGCATCCATGTCATTCCGGCTACCTTGAGAATGAAGCACTGGTATGTTCAGGGCACCCTCATGCGCCAGCGGGTGACGAAAGCTGGCGATGTTTCCGGTCACAACGTGCCACACCGGTCTCGATGAGATTATGTGAGCGGCTGCTTGTAGTATTGATGGTTACGCTTTCGATCCGAACTTGAAGCGTGGTATTTACAGCATCTTTTTGCGGTAATTGTTAGCGAGTGATGATGCGGCGACTTGTGCAGGGTGTATATTGCATATTTGCATTAGTTGTATTGTTCTTTGGCAGGTTTATACTGTGGGATGTGAGCAAAACGACAAGTCATCGGATTGGCTCAGACGTTTGGGAAGGGGGATTCCACGCGGGTGAGTGCGGGTTCGATCCCCGCCGTGAACAAGTTAATTGTGACTGACACTCACGACCTGGTGTTTGGGTTCACCAGAACTGTGACCCGCCCACAGTAACGTCCCCCACCCACGCAATCGTTTTCATTCTGCATTTGACACAGCAGAGTTTTTACGAAAGGTATTTACGAGACGTAATTACCCAGGGATAGGTAAAACAGAAAGCGGTGGAGACAGGGCACGAAATAGGTGGCTGAGAGCCACCGGCTACTACTAGCCATTCGTTTTCGAAGCTAGGAACAATTTGAATACAACTCACTTTTCGGTTTTCATCCCCGGCCGTAAGCCATCTTCTTCTTAGCATCAGCTCCACAACCTAGTTAATTCTAACAGGTTATGAGCCCAAAGAACGACTCCGGTTTCAAGGTCGAGCCTTTCGACGGCTCGAACTATGGGTTGTGGAGTTACAAGATGAAGATGTACCTGATGTCGAAGGGGCTGTGGGGCGCGATCGCGGGCGATGAGACAACAAGTGAGGCCAAGGAACAGCAAGCCCACGCCGCGATCGTGCTGAATCTGAGCGATTCGCAGTTGATGCATGTCATCGACTCGGCCACCGCAAGAGAAGCGTGGGGACGTCTGGCGCGATTTCATCACAGTCATGACATGGCGAATCGACTTTGGCTGAAGGAAAAGTTCGCGTCGTTCAAGTATGCAGCATCAAGCATGAGCGGTCATGTGATGGAGCTGGAGGACCTCGTGATGAAGATGAAGCGCGCGAACTGCGCTCCAAGTGAAGAGGACGTGTGCGCAGTACTGTTGCGGAGTCTACCTTCAAGCTTCGAGAGCTTGGTACAGGCATTCCGCATGTCCGTCGCAAGCTTCAGTTTCAGTGACCTCGTGAGCAAGTTGATCGCCGAATAAATGCGCCAGAATGAGGCTGCACGGGTAGAAGATGCGACTGCGCTCTACGCAGGCAAGAAGAAGGGTAATCAGTACCCGAAGAAGCAACAAGGACGGCGCGCGAAGGAACCATCAGGGACCTGCTACAACTGTGGCAAGTTCGGACACTACGCCAGAGATTGTCGCTCTGGTCGAGGGCCAAGGGAGCAACAGCATGACCAGTCGAATGTCGCGTTTAACGCTTGCGAAGGTTTCGCGAGCGACAGCTGGGTCATGGACAGTGGCGCGTCAGCACACATGTGCAAGGATCGAGATGCGTTCGAAGAGTACGAAGAAGTGCATCATGCGCGCAGTATTTCAAGCGCAAAAAGCGACGTTAAGCTGAATGTCATCGGACATGGGACAGTGAAGCTGCGCGTCTGGACAGGGCATGCGTGGATCGACGCTCGCCTTGAGAACACACTTCACGTTCAAGATTCGTCCAAGAACCTGTTTTCGCTCACGGCTGCGGCAGCGCGCGGCATGACAGTGGAGATAACGCGAAACGAGTGCGTGGTGAAGCGTGGCGGCAAACCCGTCGCAACAGGAAGGAAGCAGGGTTTTCTACTGTATCTAAACGCTGACTATGGTACGGAGTGCCACATGGCCGAAGACGATACAGAGCTGTGGCATAGAAGACTGGGTCACGTGTCGTATGGTACGCTGAATGCCATGGTCAAGGACGGAAGGATCAAGGGCGCAACGATGAAGACGAACGTTGCGTGTGACGTATGCGCAACGTCAAAGCAAGTGCGCAAGTCATTCAAGACAAGTGAAGAAGACGCTGAAACCAGGGAGAGTTCGCGTTCCGACGTGGCGGTGTGCTCCGACGTTCTCGGACCTATCACGCCAGCGTCCAAGTCTGGTTTCAGTTACGCCGTAACCTTCATCCTGATGAAGAGCAGGTATGTAACGGTCTATCCGTTGCGAAAGAAGAGCGACATTGCGAGTGCGTTCAAGCGGTTTTACCAAGATGTCAAGACAGCATCTGGAACGAAGATAAGGTGCTGCGAAGTGACAACGGCGGCGAATACCGGAACGAAACGATGAACAAGTTTTGCAAGGCTAAGTTCATTAAGCAAGAGTTCACGGTTCCGTACAACCCAGAGCAGAACGGGATAGCGGAGCGGATGAACCGGACGTTGGTGGAGATGACGCGCTGTATGCTCAAGGAAAGCGGCCTCGACAAGTCCTATTGGTGCGAGGCACTGATGACAGCGGCAGACATCAGAAATGTTCTGCCGAACGCGTCGAACAAGAACTCAAGGCCACACGAGATGGTGTTTAGGAAGGTTCCGCGCATCGATCACATGCGCGTGTTTGGTGCGCAATGCTATGCGTATGTGGCGAAGGAGAAGAGAAAGAAGCTGGACGACTCAGGCGTGCGATGTTTATTTCTCGGCTATGCGAAGGACCAAAAGGCGTATCGGCTTCTCAACGCGGACGATGGCTCAATCGTGATTTCAAGAAGCGTCACGTTCGCTGAGCATTCTGTCTCGAAAACAACGAAAAGCAGAGACACGCGGGTCTTCGATGTCATTGAAGAAGAGGAAAGTGTGGAGGCGTCGCTACCCGATGATGAAGACATACCAGCGCCGGTGACCGAAGAAGAGCTGCGCACCCCACCACTTCGAGCGCAGAACAGCTCTCATCACGGACCAAGTGATCGACCAAGCGACACCATTCCCACGCGCGCATCCAGCACACCCGGAAGAAATGGAGAAGAAGAGTGGATGGTGCGACCGGTTCGGAAGAAGCGCGGCGTGGTTCGCTACGAACAAGAATTTCCAAGCCATCGTCGCGGTCGCTTCAATTTGGACGACTACGAAGGTGACTTCGACTCTTTCTACTGTTTCTCGGCTGAAGAAGATGGGGAACAAGCGTCCAGCTATCAAGAAGTAATGAAGAGCAGCTACAAGGAGCAGTGGCTGCAGGCAATGAAGAGCGAGATGAAGTCGCTTGAAGAACACAGCACATGGAAGCTTGTGGACATGCCACCTGGCAAGAAGGCCGTAGGCTGGAAGTGGGTCTTCAAGATCAAACGCGATCCAAGTGGGGAGATCATCAAGTTCAAGGCACGCTTGGTTTCGAAGGGATTAACGCAGCGTCCTGGCATCTACTACAACGAGACCTTTGCACCAGTGGCGCGCAAGGAATCTATCAGCACAGTGTTGGCGATCGCTGCAGCTGAAGACCTGGAAGCAGAAAATGTTGATGTCGACACAGCGTTTCTCTACGGCGAAGTGGAAGAGGAGATCTACATGGACCAACCTGACGGTTTTGAAGATGAAGGAAGCCCGACTAAGAAGTGTTTGCTGCAGAAGGCGCTATACGGGACGAAGCAAGCGGCGCGGCAGTGGAACAACAAGTTGAGTCAGCACTTGGATAATCAAGGGTTCAAGAGCAGTACAGCGGACCCGTGTGTGTACGTTCGAGTGACAAGAGAGGGAGTACAGCATCATCGTGATCTACGTGGACGACTTGATGATTTTCTGCAAGACGAAGGAGCACATCGCAAGTATCAAGAACTCATTGATGGAAGATTTCAGCATTAAAGATCTTGGAGATCTCAAGTACTGCCTCGGGATCGAGATTCATCGCAAGCGCGAAGATGGAACGATCAAGATGAACCAGAAGGCGTACATCAAGCGACTTTCGGAGAAGTTCGGCGTTGAGAACTGCAAGGACGTGCACACGCCGGCGGACAGTAACTCGAAGCTGATCAAGATGGGTCAAGAGGAAGCGTTTGTACCAAAGTACCCATACCGTGAGCTGGTGGGCGTTTTAATGTACATCGCCACATGTACACGACCGGACATTGCGCATGCGGTTGGCGAAGTTGCGAAGTTTTTCGAGCGCTACGACAAGTCGCATTGGACAGCAGCAAAGCGGATTCTCAAGTATCTCAAGACGACTCAAGACTTAAGCATCGTTTTCAGCGGCATCAACAAGGGAGAGCTGATCGGATTTGCGGATGCAAACTGGGCTGGCGACCTTGACACGCGGCGTTCAACAACAGGATACGTTTTCTTCCTGAACGGAAGCGTGATATCGTGGAACTCGGAGCGTCAACCAACGGTCGCGACCTCAAGTACGGAAGGCAGAGTACATGAGTCTGTACAGCGCGACGCAGGAAGCAATTTGGCTTCGAGGTCTGCTCAAGGACCTGAACTACTGTGCCAAGAACGCGACGACGATTTTTCAAGACAATCAAGGATGCATCGCGCTGGCCAAGAATCCTGTGTACCACTCGCGCACGAAGCACATCGACGTTAAGTTTCACTTTTTGCGTGTAAAGGTTTCAAGTGCAGTGATTGCGCTAGAGTTCAAGCCGACGGAAGAAATGGTCGCGGATGGATTCAACAAGGCACTTCCAAGAGACAAGCACAGCAAGTTCATCACGGGTCTGTGCATGGCGGTGAGGGCGCACACGTCGCACGCACATCAAGGGAGAGTGTTAGCGAGTGATGATGCGGCGACTTGTGCAGGGTGTATATTGCATATTTGCATTAGTTGTATTGTTCTTTGGCAGGTTTATATTGTGGGATGTGAGCAAAACGACAAGTCATCGGATTGGCTCAGACGTTTGGGAAGGGGGATTCCACGCGGGTGAGTGCGGATTCGATCCCCGCCGTGAACAAGTTAATTGTGACTGACACTCACGACCTGGTGTTTGGGGTTCACCAGAACTGTGACCCGCCCACAGTAACGTCCCCCACCCACGCAATCGTTTTCATTCTGCATTTGACACAGCAGATTTTTACGAAAGGTATTTACGAGACGTAATTACCCAGGGATAGGTAAAACAGAAAGCGGTGGAGACAGGGCACGAAATAGGTGGCTGAGAGCCACCGGCTACTACTAGCCATTCGTTTTCGAAGCTAGGAACAATTTGAATACAACTCACTTTTCGGTTTTCATCCCCGGCCGTAAGCCATCTTCTTCTTAGCATCAGCTCCACAACCTAGTTAATTCTAACAGTAATGACATCAGTGTTCATCAGACGAGTAGCTTGATTGAAAGACCTAAATGGCTTACATGTGGACACCATATACATCCGGGTGCAAGCAGTATCAAATTAAATGAAGCAACACGTTTGAATTGAACTTCTCCTACTCAAGTCGTCTACACTTCCTGTGCAGAATTCGTTCTTGCTCTTCAAGCTTCCTCGACAAGGCATATCCCCTTTGACATCCATCAATGTACACAAGACCAAGCGTTCGTCAATGTATTCGTCGTCTTTATCACAATCTTTCAGTGGGCATAGATGAATGCACTCAAGCTGCACAAGCTGCGTGGATCTTCTCTATGGACGTACTTACTCTTATGCTGATACAGCTAGCTCCCCGTGATGTGTACTCCACTTTGGCTCTACAGGGGAGTTGAGATTCACGCTTATTACTGAAGTATGTATTTACGAGCATCCACTATTGCTGCCTTCTTCCTTTTTTTTTCTCCATCAGGTCACTCATCAAGACCTTTCAATACAATGCGTCCGCAGTCCCGTGATACTCATCCAGGTTCAGAATAGAGTTATCTGAAGTCTTCGAATCATGCGGATTAAGCATATCACCACGTCTTTCTCCGTGTTGTTGTCCATGCTATTCATGTCGAAGGAGTTGTTCAGGAACTTGTTGCAATGTTGTAACACTAGTCATCCACCCATTAGTCCGTACTGAATATCTTTCGCCTGATATGTAGAGCTACCGATTTTGAACCGTGCGGGTTCGTCTAGACAGCTCAATGCGAACAGCAAGTTGACGGCATCATTGTTCTCGGTAATTACGCCTCAGATGATCGGGCAAATTGAACGTTTAGACGGGCAGAACGATTGAATGCATTACTGATTGGAGGTGGATATCGTAGCCGCGCGGGCAGACTGAGATCTTCTTTTTTCCAATAGCTTCTCATTCTTCCTTCAACGTCTCAATGGGATTTGACCATCCTTCCTGCCTTCTGCCAATCACCGTAAAACTTCTTGAAGTGCATCCACGCCATTCCGGCTACCTTGAGAGTGAAGCACTGGTATATTCAGGGCACCCTCATGCGCTAGCGGGTAAAGAAAGCCGGCGATGTATCCAGTCACAACGTGCCACACCTGTTTCGATGAGCTTATGTGAGCGGCTGCTTATAGTATTGATCGTTACGCTTTCGATTCGACCTTCAAGCGTGGCATTTTCGGCATCGTTTTTGCGGTAATGACATCAGTGTTCATCAGACGAGCAGCTTGATGGAAAGACCTATATAGTTTACATGTGGACACCATATACATCAGGGTGCAAGCAGAATAAACTCCGATAAACCAACCCTTTCGAATCGACCTTCTCCTTCTCAAGTTTCAGGTGTTTTAGGTTGTCTACACTAACTGTGCAGACTTCCTTCGTGCTCTTCAAGCTTTCTCGACAAGGCATGTCCCCCTTTGACATCCATCAATATGCACAATACCAAGCGTTCGTCAATGTATTCGTTGTCTTCATCACAATCTTTCAGTGGGCATAGATGAATGCACTCAAGCTGCACAAGCTTTGTGGATCTCCTCTATGGACGTACTTACTCTTATGCTGATACAGCTAGCTCCCCGTGATGTGTACTCCACTTTGGCTCTACAGGGGAGTTGAGATTCACGCTTATTACTGAAGTATGTATTTACGAGCATCCACTATTGCTGCCTTCTTCCTTTTTTTCTCCATCAGGTCACTCATCAAGACCTTTCAATACAATGCGTCCGTAGTCCCGTGGTACTCATCCAGGTTCAGAATAGAGTTATCTGAAGTCTTCGAATCATGCGGATTAAGCATATCACCACGTCTTTCTCCATGTTGGTGTCCATACTATTCATCTTGACGGAGTTGTTCAGGAACTTGTTGCAATGTTGTAACACTAGTCATCCACCCATTAGTCCGTACTGAATATCTGTCGCCTGATATGTAGAGCTACCTATTTCGAACCGTTCGGGGTAGTCTAGCTAGACCAATGCGGACTGCAAGTTGACGGCATCATTGTTCATGGTAATTGCTCCTTAGATTGTTGGACAAATAGAACATTTTGGACGAGCAATACGAATGAATGCAACAATGATTGGAGGAGGACATCGTAGCCGCGCGGGCAGATTGAGATCTCCTTTTTTCTCCAATCGCTTCTCATTCTTCCTTCAACGTCTCAATGGGATTTGACCATCCTTCCTTCCTTCTGCCAATCACCGTAAAACTTCTTGAAGTGCATCCACGCCATTCCGGCTACCTTGAGAATGAAGCACTGGTACATTCAGGGCACCCTCATGCGCTAGCGGGTGAAGAAAGCCGGCGATGTATCCAGTCACAACGTGCCACACCGGTTTCGATGAGCTTATGTGAGCGGCTGCTTATAGTATTGATCGTTACGCTTTCGATTCGACCTTCAAGCGTGGCATTTTCGGCATCGTTTTTGCGGTAATTACATCAGTGTTCATCAGACGAGCAGCTTGATTGAAAGACCTATATGGCTTACATGTGGATACCATATGCATCAGGTTGCAAGCAGAATAAACTCCGATAAACCAACCCTTTCAAATCGACCTTCTCCTTCTCAAGTTGTCTACACTTCCTGTGCAGACTTCCTTCGTGCTCTTCAAGCTTCCTCGACAAGGCATATCCCCCTTTGACATCCATCAATATGCACAAGACCAAGCGCTCGTATTCGTTGTCTTCATCACAATCTTTCAGTGGGCATAGATGAATGCACTCAAGCTGCACAAGCTTTGTGGATCTCCTCTATGGACGTACTTACTCTTATGCTGATACAGCTAGCTCCCCGTGATGTGCACTCCACTTTGGCTCTACAGGGGAGTTGAGATTCACGCTTATAACTGAAGTATGTATTTACGAGCATCCACTATTGCTGCCTTCTTCCTTTTTTTTCTCCATCAGGTCACTCATCAAGACCTTTCAATACATAGCGTCCGCAGTCCCGTGATACTCATCCAGGTTCAGAATAGAGTTATCTTGCATCTTCGAATCATGCGGATTAAGCATATCACCACGTCTTTCTCCATGTTGTTGTCCATACTATTCACCTTGACGGAGTTGTTCAGGAACTTGTTGCAATGTTGTAACACTAGTCATCCACCCATTAGTCCGTACTGAATATCTGTCGCCTGATATGTAGAGCTACCTATTTCGAACCGTTCGGGGTAGTCTAGCTAGACCAATGCGGACTGCAAGTTGACGGCATCATTGTTCATGGTAATTACGCCTTAGATTGTTGGACAAAAAGAACGTTTTGGACGAGCAAAACGACTGGATGCATTACTGATTGGAGGTGGACATCGTAGCTGCGCGGGCGGATTGAGATCTCCTTTTTCTCCAATCGCTTCTTATTCTTCTTTCAACGTCTCAATGGGATTTCGCCATCATCCTGCCTTACGCCAATCACCGTAAAACTTCTTGAAGTGCATCCATGTCATTCCGGATAGCTTGAGAGTGAAGCACTGGTATGTTCAGGGCACCCTTATGCGCCACCGGTCGAAGAAAGCTGGCGATGTTTCCGGTCACAACGTGCCACACCGGTTTCGATGAGCTTATGTGAGCGGCTGCTTATAGTATTGATCGTAACGCTTTCGATCCGAACTTCAAGCGTGGCATTTTCGGCATCGTTTTCGCGGTAATGACATCAGTGTTCATCAGACGAGCAGCTTGATTGAAAGACCCATATAGTTTACATGTGGACACCATATGCATCAGGGTGCAAGCAGAATAAACTCCGATAAACCAACCCTTTCGAATCGGCCTTCTCCTTCTCAAGTTTTCTACACTAACTGTGCAGACCTCCTTCTTGCTCTTCAAGCTTCCTCGACATAATTTCTCCCCTCTGACATCCATCAATGTACACAAGACAAAGCGTCTGTCAATGTATTCGTCGTCTTTATCACAATCATTCAGTGGGCATAGATGAATGCTCTCAAGCTGCACAAGCTGTGTGAATCTCCTCTGTGTTAGTACCTACTCTTATGCTAATACAGCTAGCTCCCCACGATGCGTACTCCAATTTGTCGCTATATGTGAAGTTGATATTCGTGCTTTTTACTGAAGTATATATTTACGAGCATCCACTATTGCTGCAGTCTTCCTTTTCTTGCTCCATAAAGGCGCTCAAGAACTTTTTATACGATGCGTCCGCAGTCCCGTGATACTCATCTATGTTCAGAATAAAGCTATTTAAAGTCTGCGAATCACGTGGATCGAGTAAACCACAACTTCTTTCTCCATTTCGGTGTTCATGCTATTCACCACGGCGGTATCATTCGGGGGTTCGACTTGTTGCAATGTTGAAACACTTGTCATCCACCCATTTGTACGTACTGAATATCTATCGCCTGTTACATAGAGCTACCTGTTTCGAACCGTGCGGGGTATCCAAGCTAGCTCAATGCGGACTGCAAGTTGACGGCATCATTCTTCGCGGTAATTACGCCTTAGATGATTGAGCGAATAAAACATGTAGGCGAGCAAAACGACTGGATGCATTAATGATTGGAGGTGGACATCGTAGCTGCGTGGGCAGAGTAAGATCTGTTTTTTCTCCAATCGCTTCTTATTCTTCTTTCAACGTCTCAAGTGGATTGCGTCATCATTCCTGCCTTGCGCCAGACACCGTAAAACTTCTTGACGTGCATCCATGTCATTCCGGCTACCTTGAGAATGAAGCACTGGTATGTTCAGGGCACCCTCATGCGCCAGCGGGTGACGAAAGCTGGCGATGTTTCCGGTCACAACGTGCCACACCGGTCTCGATGAGATTATGTGAGCGGCTGCTTGTAGTATTGATGGTTACGCTTTCGATCCGAACTTGAAGCGTGGTATTTACAGCATCTTTTTTGCGGTAATTGTTAGCGAGTGATGATGCGGCGACTTGTGCAGGGTGTATATTGCATATTTGCATTAGTTGTATTGTTCTTTGGCAGGTTTATACTGTGGGATGTGAGCAAAACGACAAGTCATCGGATTGGCTCAGACGTTTGGGAAGGGGGATTCCACGCGGGTGAGTGCGGGTTCGATCCCCGCCGTGAACAAGTTAATTGTGACTGACACTCACGACCTGGTGTTTGGGTTCACCAGAACTGTGACCCGCCCACAGTAACGTCCCCCACCCACGCAATCGTTTTCATTCTGCATTTGACACAGCAGATTTTTACGAAAGGTATTTACGAGACGTAATTACCCAGGGATAGGTAAAACAGAAAGCGGTGGAGACAGGGCACGAAATAGGTGGCTGAGAGCCACCGGCTACTACTAGCTATTCGTTTTCGAAGCTAGGAACAATTTGAATACAACTCACTTTTCGGTTTTCATCCCCGGCCGTAAGCCATCTTCTTCTTAGCATCAGCTCCACAACCTAGTTAATTCTAACAGGTTATGAGCCCAAAGAACGACTCCGGTTTCAAGGTCGAGCCTTTCGACGGCTCGAACTATGGGTTGTGGAGTTACAAGATGAAGATGTACCTGATGTCGAAGGGGCTGTGGGGCGCGATCGCGGGCGATGAGACAACAAGTGAGGCCAAGGAACAGCAAGCCCACGCCGCGATCGTGCTGAATCTGAGCGATTCGCAGTTGATGCATGTCATCGACTCGGCCACCGCAAGAGAAGCGTGGGGACGTCTGGCGCGATTTCATCACAGTCATGACATGGCGAATCGACTTTGGCTGAAGGAAAAGTTCGCGTCGTTCAAGTATGCAGCATCAAGCATGAGCGGTCATGTGATGGAGCTGGAGGACCTCGTGATGAAGATGAAGCGCGCGAACTGCGCTCCAAGTGAAGAGGACGTGTGCGCAGTACTGTTGCGGAGTCTACCTTCAAGCTTCGAGAGCTTGGTACAGGCATTCCGCATGTCCGTCGCAAGCTTCAGTTTCAGTGACCTCGTGAGCAAGTTGATCGCCGAATAAATGCGCCAGAATGAGGCTGCACGGGTAGAAGATGCGACTGCGCTCTACGCAGGCAAGAAGAAGGGTAATCAGTACCCGAAGAAGCAACAAGGACGGCGCGCGAAGGAACCATCAGGGACCTGCTACAACTGTGGCAAGTTCGGACACTACGCCAGAGATTGTCGCTCTGGTCGAGGGCCAAGGGAGCAACAGCATGACCAGTCGAATGTCGCGTTTAACGCTTGCGAAGGTTTCGCGAGCGACAGCTGGGTCATGGACAGTGGCGCGTCAGCACACATGTGCAAGGATCGAGATGCGTTCGAAGAGTACGAAGAAGTGCATCATGCGCGCAGTATTTCAAGCGCAAAAAGCGACGTTAAGCTGAATGTCATCGGACATGGGACAGTGAAGCTGCGCGTCTGGACAGGGCATGCGTGGATCGACGCTCGCCTTGAGAACACACTTCACGTTCAAGATTCGTCCAAGAACCTGTTTTCGCTCACGGCTGCGGCAGCGCGCGGCATGACAGTGGAGATAACGCGAAACGAGTGCGTGGTGAAGCGTGGCGGCAAACCCGTCGCAACAGGAAGGAAGCAGGGTTTTCTACTGTATCTAAACGCTGACTATGGTACGGAGTGCCACATGGCCGAAGACGATACAGAGCTGTGGCATAGAAGACTGGGTCACGTGTCGTATGGTACGCTGAATGCCATGGTCAAGGACGGAAGGATCAAGGGCGCAACGATGAAGACGAACGTTGCGTGTGACGTATGCGCAACGTCAAAGCAAGTGCGCAAGTCATTCAAGACAAGTGAAGAAGACGCTGAAACCAGGGAGAGTTCGCGTTCCGACGTGGCGGTGTGCTCCGACGTTCTCGGACCTATCACGCCAGCGTCCAAGTCTGGTTTCAGTTACGCCGTAACCTTCATCCTGATGAAGAGCAGGTATGTAACGGTCTATCCGTTGCGAAAGAAGAGCGACATTGCGAGTGCGTTCAAGCGGTTTTACCAAGATGTCAAGACAGCATCTGGAACGAAGATAAGGTGCTGCGAAGTGACAACGGCGGCGAATACCGGAACGAAACGATGAACAAGTTTTGCAAGGCTAAGTTCATTAAGCAAGAGTTCACGGTTCCGTACAACCCAGAGCAGAACGGGATAGCGGAGCGGATGAACCGGACGTTGGTGGAGATGACGCGCTGTATGCTCAAGGAAAGCGGCCTCGACAAGTCCTATTGGTGCGAGGCACTGATGACAGCGGCAGACATCAGAAATGTTCTGCCGAACGCGTCGAACAAGAACTCAAGGCCACACGAGATGGTGTTTAGGAAGGTTCCGCGCATCGATCACATGCGCGTGTTTGGTGCGCAATGCTATGCGTATGTGGCGAAGGAGAAGAGAAAGAAGCTGGACGACTCAGGCGTGCGATGTTTATTTCTCGGCTATGCGAAGGACCAAAAGGCGTATCGGCTTCTCAACGCGGACGATGGCTCAATCGTGATTTCAAGAAGCGTCACGTTCGCTGAGCATTCTGTCTCGAAAACAACGAAAAGCAGAGACACGCGGGTCTTCGATGTCATTGAAGAAGAGGAAAGTGTGGAGGCGTCGCTACCCGATGATGAAGACATACCAGCGCCGGTGACCGAAGAAGAGCTGCGCACCCCACCACTTCGAGCGCAGAACAGCTCTCATCACGGACCAAGTGATCGACCAAGCGACACCATTCCCACGCGCGCATCCAGCACACCCGGAAGAAATGGAGAAGAAGAGTGGATGGTGCGACCGGTTCGGAAGAAGCGCGGCGTGGTTCGCTACGAACAAGAATTTCCAAGCCATCGTCGCGGTCGCTTCAATTTGGACGACTACGAAGGTGACTTCGACTCTTTCTACTGTTTCTCGGCTGAAGAAGATGGGGAACAAGCGTCCAGCTATCAAGAAGTAATGAAGAGCAGCTACAAGGAGCAGTGGCTGCAGGCAATGAAGAGCGAGATGAAGTCGCTTGAAGAACACAGCACATGGAAGCTTGTGGACATGCCACCTGGCAAGAAGGCCGTAGGCTGGAAGTGGGTCTTCAAGATCAAACGCGATCCAAGTGGGGGAGATCATCAAGTTCAAGGCACGCTTGGTTTCGAAGGGATTAACGCAGCGTCCTGGCATCTACTACAACGAGACCTTTGCACCAGTGGCGCGCAAGGAATCTATCAGCACAGTGTTGGCGATCGCTGCAGCTGAAGACCTGGAAGCAGAAAATGTTGATGTCGACACAGCGTTTCTCTACGGCGAAGTGGAAGAGGAGATCTACATGGACCAACCTGACGGTTTTGAAGATGAAGGAAGCCCGACTAAGAAGTGTTTGCTGCAGAAGGCGCTATACGGGACGAAGCAAGCGGCGCGGCAGTGGAACAACAAGTTGAGTCAGCACTTGGATAATCAAGGGTTCAAGAGCAGTACAGCGGACCCGTGTGTGTACGTTCGAGTGACAAGAGAGGAGTACAGCATCATCGTGATCTACGTGGACGACTTGATGATTTTCTGCAAGACGAAGGAGCACATCGCAAGTATCAAGAACTCATTGATGGAAGATTTCAGCATTAAAGATCTTGGAGATCTCAAGTACTGCCTCGGGATCGAGATTCATCGCAAGCGCGAAGATGGAACGATCAAGATGAACCAGAAGGCGTACATCAAGCGACTTTCGGAGAAGTTCGGCGTTGAGAACTGCAAGGACGTGCACACGCCGGCGGACAGTAACTCGAAGCTGATCAAGATGGGTCAAGAGGAAGCGTTTGTACCAAAGTACCCATACCGTGAGCCGGTGGGCGTTTTAATGTACATCGCCACATGTACACGACCGGACATTGCGCATGCGGTTGGCGAAGTTGCGAAGTTTTTCGAGCGCTACGACAAGTCGCATTGGACAGCAGCAAAGCGGATTCTCAAGTATCTCAAGACGACTCAAGACTTAAGCATCGTTTTCAGCGGCATCAACAAGGGAGAGCTGATCGGATTTGCGGATGCAAACTGGGCTGGCGACCTTGACACGCGGCGTTCAACAACAGGATACGTTTTCTTCCTGAACGGAAGCGTGATATCGTGGAACTCGGAGCGTCAACCAACGGTCGCGACCTCAAGTACGGAAGCAGAGTACATGAGTCTGTACAGCGCGACGCAGGAAGCAATTTGGCTTCGAGGTCTGCTCAAGGACCTGAACTACTGTGCCAAGAACGCGACGACGATTTTTCAAGACAATCAAGGATGCATCGCGCTGGCCAAGAATCCTGTGTACCACTCGCGCACGAAGCACATCGACGTTAAGTTTCACTTTTTGCGTGTAAAGGTTTCAAGTGCAGTGATTGCGCTAGAGTTCAAGCCGACGGAAGAAATGGTCGCGGATGGATTCAACAAGGCACTTCCAAGAGACAAGCACAGCAAGTTCATCACGGGTCTGTGCATGGCGGTGTAGGGCGCACACGTCGCACGCACATCAAGGGAGAGTGTTAGCGAGTGATGATGCGGCGACTTGTGCAGGGTGTATATTGCATATTTGCATTAGTTGTATTGTTCTTTGGCAGGTTTATATTGTGGGATGTGAGCAAAACGACAAGTCATCGGATTGGCTCAGACGTTTGGGAAGGGGGATTCCACGCGGGTGAGTGCGGATTCGATCCCCGCCGTGAACAAGTTAATTGTGACTGACACTCACGACCTGGTGTTTGGGGTTCACCAGAACTGTGACCCGCCCACAGTAACGTCCCCCCACCCACGCAATCGTTTTCATTCTGCATTTGACACAGCAGATTTTTACGAAAGGTATTTACGAGACGTAATTACCCAGGGATAGGTAAAACAGAAAGCGGTGGAGACAGGGCACGAAATAGGTGGCTGAGAGCCACCGGCTACTACTAGCCATTCGTTTTCGAAGCTAGGAACAATTTGAATACAACTCACTTTTCGGTTTTCATCCCCGGCCGTAAGCCATCTTCTTCTTAGCATCAGCTCCACAACCTAGTTAATTCTAACAGTAATGACATCAGTGTTCATCAGACGAGTAGCTTGATTGAAAGACCTAAATGGCTTACATGTGGACACCATATACATCCGGGTGCAAGCAGTATCAAATTAAATGAAGCAACACTTTTGAATTGAACTTCTCCTACTCAAGTCGTCTACACTTCCTGTGCAGACTTCGTTCTTGCTCTTCAAGCTTCCTCGACAAGGCATATCCCCTTTGACATCCATCAGTGTACACAAGACAAAGCGCTTCTTATCATAACTGTTGTCTCTAACACAATCTTTCAGTGGGCATAGATGAATGCACTCAAGCTGCACAAGCTGCGTGGATCTTCTCTATGGACGTACTTACTCTTATGCTGATACAGCTAGCTCCCCGTGATGTGTATTCCACTTTGGCTCTACAGGGGAGTTGAGATTCACGCTTATTACTGAAGTATGTATTTACGAGCATCCACTATTGCTGCCTTCTTCCTTTTTTTCTCCATCAGGTCACTCATCAAGACCTTTCAATACATTGCGTCCGCAGTCCCGTGATACTCATCCAGGTTTAGAATAGAGTTATCTTACATCTTCGAATCATGCGGATTAAGCATATCACCACGTCTTTCTCCATGTTGGTGTCCATACTATTCATCTTGACGGAGTTGTTCAGAAACTTGTTGCAATGTTGTAACACTAGTCATCCACCCATTAGTCCGTACTGAATATCTGTCGCCTGATATGTAGAGCTACCTATTTCGAACCGTTCGGGGTAGTCTAGCTAGCTCAATGCGGACTGCAAGTTGACGGCAGCATTGTTCACGGTAATTACGCCTTAGATTGTTGGACAAATAGAACATTTTGGACGAGCAGTACGATTAAATGCAACAATGATTGGAGGAGGACATCGTAGCCGCGCGGGCAGATTGAGATCTCCTTTTTTCTCCAATCGCTTCTCATTCTTCCTTCAACGTCTCAACGGGATTTGACCATCCTTCCTGCCTTCTGCCAATCACCGTAAAACTTCTTAAGGTGCATCCCTGTCATTCCGGATCGCTTATGAATGAAGCACTCGTATGTTCAGGGCACCCTTATGCGCCACCGGTCGAAGAAAGCCGGAGATGTATCCAGTCACAACGTGCCACACCGGTTTCGATGAGCTTATGTGAGCGGCTGCTTATAGTATTGATGGTTACGCTTTCGATTCGAACTTCAAGCGTGGCATTTTCGGCATCGTTTTTGCGGTAATGACATCAGTGTTCATCAGACGAGCAGCTTGATTGAAAGACCTACATGGTTTACATGTGGACACCATATACATCCGGGTGCAAGCAGAATAAACTCCGATAAACCAACCCTTTCGAATCGGCCTTCTCCTTCTCAAGTTGTCTACACTTCCTGTGCAGACTTCCTTCTTGCTCTTCAAGCTTCCTCGACAAGGCATCTCCCCCTTTGACATCCATCAATATGCACAAGACCAAGCGCTTCTTCAATGTATTCGTTGTCTTCATCACAATCTTTCAGTGGGCATAGATGAATGCACTCAAGCTGCACAAGCTGCGTGGATCTTCTCTATGGACGTACTTACTCTTATGCTGATACAGCTAGCTCCCCGTGATGTGTACTCCACTTTGGCTCTACAGGGGAAGTTGAGATTCACGCTTATTACTGAAGTATGTATTTACGAGCATCCACTATTGCTGCCTTCTTCCTTTTTTTTTCTCCATCAGGTCACTCATCAAGACCTTTCAATACAATGCGTCCGCAGTCCCGTGATACTCATCCAGGTTCAGAATAGAGTTATCTTACATCTTCGAATCATGCGGATTAAGCATATCACCACGTCTTTCTCCATGTTGGTGTCCATACTATTCATCTTGACGGAGTTGTTCAGGAACTTGTTGCAATGTTGTAACACTAGTCATCCACCCATTAGTCCGTACTGAATATCTGTCGCCTGATATGTAGAGCTACCTATTTCGAACCGTTCGGGGTAGTCTAGCTAGCTCAATGCGGACTGCAAGTTGACGGCATCATTGTTCACGGTAATTGCTCCTTAGATTGTTGGACAAATAGAACATTTTGGACGAGCAATACGATTAAATGCAACAATGATTGGAGGAGGACATCGTAGCCGCGCGGGCAGATTGAGATCTTCTTTTTTCTCCAATCGCTTCTCATTCTTCCTCCAACGTCTCAAGTGGATTGCGCCATCCTTCCTGCCTTCTGCCAATCACCGTAAAACTTCTTGAAGTGCATCCACGCCATTCCGGCTACCTTGAGAATGAAGCACTGGTATATTCAGGGCACCCTCATGCGCCAGCGGGTGAAGAAAGCCGGCGATGTATCCAGTCACAACGTGCCACACCGGTTTCGATGAGCTTATGTGAGCGGCTGCTTATAGTATTGATCGTTACGCTTTCGATTCGAACTTCAAGCGTGGCATTTTCGGCATCGTTTTTGCGGTAATGACATCAGTGTTCATCAGACGAGCAGCTTGATTGAAAGACCTATATGGTTTACATGTGGACACCATATACATCAGGGTGCAAGCAGAATAAACTCCGATAAACCAACCCTTTCGAATCGACCTTCTCCTTCTCAAGTTGTCTACACTTCCTGTGCAGACTTCCTTCTTGCTCTTCAAGCTTCCTCGACAAGGCATATCCCCCTTTGACATCCATCAATATGCACAAGACCAAGCGTTCGTCAATGTATTCGTTGTCTTCATCACAATCTTTCAGTGGGCATAGATGAATGCACTCAAGCTGCACAAGCTGCGTGGATCTTCTCTATGGACGTACTTACTCTTATGCTGATACAGCTAGCTCCCCGTGATGTGTACTCCACTTTGGCTCTACAGGGGAGTTGAGATTCACGCTTATAACTGAAGTATGTATTTACGAGCATCCACTATTGCTGCCTTCTTCCTTTTTTTCTCCATCAGGTCACTCATCAAGACCTTTCAATACAATGCGTCCGCAGTCCCGTGATACTCATCCAGGTTCAGAATAGAGTTATCTTACATCTTCGAATCATGCGGATTAAGCATATCACCACGTCTTTCTCCATGTTGGTGTCCATACTATTCATCTTGACGGAGTTGTTCAGGAACTTGTTGCAATGTTGTAACACTAGTCATCCACCCATTAGTCCGTACTGAATATCTGTCGCCTGATATGTAGAGCTACCTATTTCGAACCGTTCGGGGTAGTCTAGCTAGCTCAATGCGGACTGCAAGTTGACGGCATCATTGTTCACGGTAATTACGCCTTAGATGATCGGGGCAAATAGAACGTTTAGGACGGGCAGAACGATTAAATGCATTAATGATTGGAGGTGGACATCGTAGCCGCGCGGGCAGATTGAGATCTTCTTTTTCTCCAATCGCTTCTCATTCTTCCTTCAACGTCTCAATGGGATTTGCGCCATCCTTCCTGCCTTCTGCCAATCACCGTAAAACTTCTTGAAGTGCATCCACGCCATTCCGGCTACCTTGAGAATGAAGCACTGGTATATTCAGGGCACCCTCATGGGCCAGCGGGTGAAGAAAGCCGGCGATGTATCCAGTCACAACGTGCCACACCGGTTTCGATGAGCTTATGTGAGCGGCTGCTTATAGTATTGATCGTTACGCTTTCGATTCGAACTTCAAGCGTGGCATTTTCGGCATCGTTTTTGCGGTAATGACATCAGTGTTCATCAGACGAGCAGCTTGATTGAAAGACCTATATGGTTTACATGTGGACACCATATACATCAGGGTGCAAGCAGAATAAACTCCGATAAACCAACCCTTTCGAATCGACCTTCTCCTTCTCAAGTTGTCTACACTTCCTGTGCAGACTTCCTTCTTGCTCTTCAAGCTTCCTCGACAAGGCATATTCCCCTTTGACATCCATCAATGTGCACAATACCAAGCGTTCGTCAATGTATTCGTTGTCTTCATCACAATCTTTCAGTGGGCATAGATGAATGCACTCAAGCTGCACAAGCTGCGTGGATCTTCTCTATGGACGTACTTACTCTTATGCTGATACAGCTAGCTCCCCGTGATGTGTACTCCACTTTGGCACTACAGGTGGAGTTGAGATTCACGCTTATTACTGAAGTATGTATTTACGAGCATCCACTATTGCTGCCTTCTTCCTTTTTTTCTCCATCAGGTCACTCATCAAGACCTTTCAATACAATGCGTCCGCAGTCCCGTGATACTCATCCAGGTTCAGAATAGAGTTATCTTACATCTTCGAATCATGCGGATTAAGCATATCACCACGTCTTTCTCCATGTTGGTGTCCATACTATTCATCTTGACGGAGTTGTTCAGGAACTTGTTGCAATGTTGTAACACTAGTCATCCACCCATTAGTCCGTACTGAATATCTGTCGCATGATATGTAGAGCTACCTATTTCGAACCGTTCGGGGTATCCAAGCTAGCTCAATGCGGACTGCAAGTTGACGGCAT